GTATTGGGGTCCAGGGGTAGGGTGGTCTGATTCATATATACAGGAAGGTCAGACGAAGATTCATTCATTCATTCACCATTCAACCCAATATGGCAAGTTCTGAGCTGGGCTTGGGGATAGAGCAGGAAATAAGCCAGGTGCTGTTTCTGTATTTGGGGCAGGCTTTGGGCTGCTGGGATCATCATGCAACAGCTATTCAGCTTCCCTTGTTGCCTGAGGTTTGGCCCCAGCCACCCTGCTGCTTAAAGTCTTAGGATGGAGGTTTGGGTTGGCATCCACCAGCCTCAAAGACACTGCATCAGTGAGTCCGTGTGTGTGTGTGTGTGTGTGTGTGTGTGTGGTGCAGAAGGTATCAACCACCTGAAGCAGCTAGTATGCCACAAAGTGGCAGAAAATGCTGCTCTTTGGGGGAAGAGAGAGAGAGGGAGAGAATGAGAGAGAGGTCATTCTTCTCTCTCTTCTTATAGGGGCACCAATCCAATCATGAGGGCTCCATCCTCATGAACTAATTACCTCCCAAAGGCCCCATCTCCAAATACTAGAGCATTGGGAGGTTCGGGCTTCCACAGATGAATTTCAGGGGAAACAATTCAGTCCACAGAAAACACTCAACCTGGCTCTCTTCGAAGGGCAGCTTTAGGGACTGTAACAGTGAGGAAAATGGAAAGGTTCTTGCATCTTCCAGAATATTGCCCCCTGCTTGCTAGTTATTATAAAATGCTACATAAATGGGAGATGGCTTTCCACAGTGCAGTTAGAGTTCAATATACTTCAATGTAAACAGGAGGAAATTAATGTATGGTGTAGATGAGTCTTAATGTGCATTTGTGGGCGGTGGTGGAAGTGTGGGCAGCTGGGTGAGACAGCAGGAAATCCAGGTGCCCACAGAGAAGAGGAGGGGCCCATGGCGGGATGGAGGGGCCAGAAATCCTGCCACAGGCTAGGACTTCTTGTTATCTCTGCTTATCTCTGTTTATGTGCACAAATAGCAATGATGGGCCAAGGTCCTGTTTTTAGTCAAAAGAGACTGGTGGCCATGCAGCGGGAATGGAAAGAAGGGGCAACTTCCTGAGAAAAGGAAGAATCCAATGCCAGAAGGGATGAAGGAAGGGGAAGGATCAAGGACACCTTGCTGGGGGGATATAAGAGTGGTGTTCCCTCAGGTTTCCCTCCACCCCAACACCACCCCCAACCACAGAAGAATGGAGACTCTGGGGAGGGAGCAAGCTTCTGGCAGGAGATGAGGAATTTGCTTTTGGACCTGTGTTTGGGGGATGGCAGGACCACCTGTTCTTGGGTCAGAACACAGGACCAGAGGGACAGTGAAGAGAGAGGAGCCCCAGGTATCTGGGTTGGAGGATTGGACCTGAGAGTTAGCTCAGGGCAGTGGATATGGAATCTAAGCGAATAGGCATGGTGTTGAGAGAGAGAGGTGGAAGCATGAGAAGAAAAGGAGCAGAGGGTCTTGGAGGGACCATGATGGGCTCTGAAAGCACATTTGGAGCCTAGTTGGCAATCGTTTTAGAGGAGTCTTATTTGTACCCCTCTGAGTCCTCTTTGGTTCCCTGGAATCTGTTTTTCCATAGTTATGCTCAAGGAGGGTGACTGGAAAGTTCTGAGAGCTATGACTCCCTTACTCCAGATTTGATCGCTGAGGGATCTCACCCCTCACGGTGCCCCCAGAACTGGGCAGCCAGCCCCGTTCCAAGCTGCAGGCTGTGGGGGGCTCCTGCTCTAACAGGCAGGGAGCCCAGCAATTTGTTCTCCTGTGCCTTTCCTGCTTCTGATTGCAGCCTTGGGTAGCCTGAAGTAGGCTGTTGATGAGAACATCATTCTACTCTGCCTTGTGCCAGCTTCTTCCAGCCCAAGACATCTATCATCCTGTGGTAATCCAGCCCTCTTGGTTTGATGCAGACAGGTGACAGCTGAAGCTGGGCCGTGCCTGACCCAGCCTGGGGCATGCTGGTCACTGCTCCACAGAAATGAGTCACTCTCTGCCAGCCTTTCCCTGCTCTCTCTGCCCCTTGCACCTTGAATGCAAATGTCACCCCTGGGATCCTATCATTGTGGGATTTTTTTTTCTTTTTAAAAGAAATCCCATATTGAACAGGACATTTGTCCTCTCTCCTGTTTAAATTGCTTTCCACGGGTTAGGGAGACCTGGCCATCGATTTTCTTCTGGAGAGCAGAACAAGCCCTGTGAAGATTTTGGCTAATTAACTTTTGGAGAGGTGCTGCTTGAATTTATCAAAAAGGCTGAAGTCTCTTTTCTCCTCCTGTATCTTGAGAAAGGCTTTAAACTTTTGTTTCCGAGTCTTTGCCAATGCCTGGTCTGTTTAAAAGTGACTTGCCTGGAGACGGGGCGGGGCGGGGGGGCAGCAGAGAGGGTGTTGGATGTCACATTTTTGCAGGTTCAATCTTTAATACGTTGTTCCAGTCCGAAGAAGGTTTTCTCTGTTTAGGTAAGAGAGGTATCGTTCACACAAAGATTACGTTTAAAAATACACATTTCCCCCCAGCATGCCTGTTACTAATAACATCGCATGTTACGGAAAGTGGAAAGTATTTAAGATGAAATTAATTTTCACCCAACGCACCACTTTGTTTGACTTTCTTGTCCCATTTGGTGTGGGGCACAGACTTGGCCAAACACACTTTTCGTTTTCAGCAACTTCCCTTTCTTGTTTCTCTCTTTGGGACTGAAGCTGTGGGAAGCAAGTTAGGAGCGAATGAAGAAGAGTCTAATTTGAGACCCTGTACTCGTTTTCTTTTACGTCGGCTTCCAGAGTTTGTTTTGAGAGTGGAAGCCTTCTCTCCAGTCTATGGGTTCTAGTGTACTGTTTGCTTGTTTTATGGATTCTCTTTCAGCAGAATTTCCAGGGTTGGAAGAGTTAACATCTATTTTGGCCATCTGCCAAAAGATCCTGGGAAACCAGATGACTGTTTCTCACATCGGACACCTCTCTGTTATGTGTTCTTGTCAGTTCTCATCAATGTGGCGTGGCTGGTGGTGGTTTCATGAAGGAGCTGGAACATCCAGGACACCCTGGATGGGGCTGTGTGTCATCTTGCCTGGGCTGAGCTCTCTGGAAAACTTCTGTTTGCACTGAGCTCTGTCGCCTTAGCAGCGGGGACATTTAAGCTGGTGGGACACAGATGCGAACGCTTTGTAGGAAATGGTTCTTTATTTTTGATCAATCTCATGATCCTTGTTACCATCTTTGATTACATCAGCTCATGTTCCGTTTTATAGCATTTTAATGGGCTTCCATCCCCCCAATTCATTTCCAGCTGTGTGGCTATTATAATTTGATTACAGTTTGGTTTTGCAACTGCTCGGACACTTTCTGAGCACGTTATGCCTTCCTTGTGAGGCTGAAGATGTTCACAGGGGGAAAAGGAGCAAGGGGCTTTTTTTTGAGGAGGCATGTCAATAAGCGATTTCCAAAAGATGCCTCAGAAGCTTCCATGGTTGTATCCTCCCAGAATAAGAAATTTGCTTCAAACTCTTTGGTAGACTCTGATCCCCTGATTTTTTTTTTAAAGAGTACAAAAATCCGTCTAAAATTTTGCTTTCTTTAGTCCTCTAAATATTTTGGTTAAGAACTATATATTATTTTTGACTTAGAGACTTTCACACCCTGATTTTGGCTTCTTCAAATCTACATAGAATCAAAACAAAGGGACATTCATAATGTTGCTTCAAAATGAGCTACTTAATTCTCCCTCTGGCCCTGCAATCCTTGTGGCTCCTCCTCTTCCTGCCTTTCCTCCCACCGCCCCACAAAGAAGTGCAAGTCTACCTGGCAGAGATTATGTTATTACATTTGTATTTCCTTGAGACATTTATTAACCTCCAACATGTGCCTGTCTTTTATTTGTTAGGTATTTGATCTCTTTGATTTTTTTTTTTTTTTTTTGCTTTACATTTGATCAGTTTTACCAATGTTATGTTTTTGGTTCTTGAAAAGGATACTCTCTTAAAATTTAGTAGCATCACAGGTCCAAGGATACAAAAGATTCAGGAACATAAAATTTACTTTGTTTAATCAGATCACCACTCCAACAAATCAGGAAGGTCTTTCTATTTGCGGTTTAGATCCCAAGAATTAAATTATCTTGAATTCAAAATTCAACTATTATCGCAAACTCTCCCTCTGTTTTCATTTAGAACGTTATTTTCCTTTAAGTGTGTGGTTTTAAAAGATTGGTGCATGCTCCTCTGTGCCTACTTTCACCATAATAGCTCTCTCAGCTTTTATGGGATATTTCCTCTACCCTTCTGGTCTGTGTTTATATGGGGTGTGTTTCTCTTCTATTGTAATGGAAAGCTGTCCCTCTATGCTGGTGTTGGGTTCATTCTAGAGTGCTTTTGCTGGCAATTACTGAGAACAAAGTGTGGATAACAGAGGATGTTAGTGAGAGGGCTCTAGAAGCCTGAGCTCCTGGTAGAACCCAGGTAGAAGATTGTTCCAGAGACACTTCTTTTTTTAAAAAATTTTTTTTTATTTATTTATGATAGGCACACAGTGAGAGAGAGAGAGAGAGAGGCAGAGACACAGGCAGAGGGAGAAGCAGGCTCCATGCACCGGGAGCCTGACGTGGGATTCGATCCCGGGTCTCCAGGATCCTGCCCTGGGCCAAAGGCAGGCGCCAAACCGCTGCGCCACCCAGGGATCCCTCCAGAGACACTTCTATTCCAGAACGGGACCTCATGCTTCCTGGAACAGGGACTGGTCACTTTTACTGGTGGTTTATCTAGGGACCCTAGGCTCTTTGTTCAAGGGGATTCTGAATTCCCTGGTGGATTTGGTATGGGAAACAGAACCTGGTTGAGACCTGACACCAAGTCGGAATCTGTCCCTTGGCAAGGCTCTTGATACTCCTTGCCTGGGTCTTCATAACTGCATAAGCTCCCCAGGGAGGTAGGTGAGTAACCTCAGTTTCCCTCTGGGTGTGTTCCCTGGCCTCACCCCTGTCTCTCTCCCTCTCCTGGGCAGGCTTGGGGACCAGTTCTACAAGGAAGCCATCGAGCACTGCCGGAGCTATAACTCGCGGCTCTGCGCAGAACGCAGCGTGCGCCTCCCCTTCCTGGACTCGCAGACTGGGGTGGCTCAGAACAACTGCTACATCTGGATGGAGAAGAGGCACCGCGGTCCAGGTGAGCCACGCCGCCCTGGCACGTCCGTGCGCTGGCTTCTGGGCTGGATGGAGGAGGCCCGACAGCCGCTGGGCATCTCCGCGGGCGGCCGGGAAGGGCGGGCAACGAGAGAAACGCAACCACTTTTCTAGCTTTTGGCACATGTTCCCAGGACGGTGGTGGTGGTGGGAGGGGCAGAGTGAACGGCTCAGGACTTAGCCCCAAAAAGGGAAGACCGAGGATGGGACAATCAGCTTCTCATCTTTTGCCCTTTTGTAGCTTTGTGCTTATGAGATGGCTTTGAGGCTTGGCCCCTTCATCAGTCCTCTCTCCCTCAGGCTCCTCACCTGTAAAATGGGAATGATCATCGTATTTACTTTGGGATTTTCGTCAGGATTGAACGAAAATATTCATAAAAGGCTAATGAGTTTGCACATAGGAAGTATGTGCTCCAAAAATGCTGGCTTTGTTGTTGATATTACTATTATTATTATTACTTTTATACCAGTCTTCTAGGTGCCAGAGAACAGAATAGATTAGGGAGGCAACTGGAGAAAAGCGTTTTTCTGGCTCTGTATGGATATATTTTAAAAACCTTTTATTATGAAAAATTTCAAACCCGTACAAAAGTAGAGAGAATAGTAAAATGAATGTCCGTGTATTTATCACCCAGCGTCAACAGTGATCAACTCATGGCCAATCTTGTTTCATTTATACTCACCTCCTACTTTCTTCCTTGGCCCTTGGTTATTTTGAGGTAAATCCAAGGCAGCGTATTATTTTATCTGTAAATTTTTCAGTATGTATCTCTAAACGATAAGGACATAAACAAATCCACAATAGCTATCAAAGCTCCAAGTTAACAATAAAACGTTAATAAAATCAAATATTTGTTCAACATTTATTTCCTCCTGTATTTGAAATCAGAATCCAAATAGGATCCTACATTGTAATTGACTGATTTTTTTTTTAAAGATTTTATTTGTTTATTCATGAGAGACAGAGAGAGGTAGAGAGAGAAGCAGGCTCCATGCAGGGAGCCCTATGTGGGACTTGATCCCAGGACTTAATCCTGGGACTCCAGGATCACGCCCTGGGCTGAAGGCAGGCGCCTAACCACTGAGCCACTCAGGCGTCCCCCTGATGTGTTTCTTAAATCATTTTAAATCTGTAGGTCTTGTGTGTGTGTGTGTGTGTGTGTGTGTGTGTGTGTCTGTATCTGTTTCTCTCCCCCTTGCATGTTATTAGTGTAAGAAACTGGGTTGTTTGCACCGTAGGGTTTCCCAGAGTCTGGATTTTCTTTTTTTTTTTTTTTTTTTGAGTCTGGATTTTCTGATTGCATCCCTATGATGTTATTCCTGTGAACTGGTAGTTAGGACTGGAGATTTGAGCAGATTCAGGTTCAGGTTCAGGTTCAGTTTTTTTTTTTTTTTTTTTTTTTTTTTTTTTTTTTTTTTTTTTTTAGGCAAGAACAACTCCTAAGTGGAGTGTGTACTACCATCATGTTTGTTGTCTGGTTATCTCTCTTTCACTGATGTTAGCAGCCTTTGGTGATAGTTGCTTAGATCCTTTATTCAATTAAGGGCTGCAAAAAGGTGACATTCAATTCAAGGGCTGTCACTATTTTTTCATTTATCAGCTTTATAACTTCTGTAAAGAGAAATATCTCCTCATTAAAATTTTGGTTATTGTGAGGTATAGTTCACATATGAAAGGTGGAATAGATAATTTTGCCCCTTTAATTACTAGTTTATTTTTTTTACTAGTTTATTTTTAATCATGATAAATGTACTCTTTAATCCCCATCCCCTATTTCTTCCCCCCACCCCCCTCTGGTAGCCATCAGTTCTCTATAGTTAAGAGTCTGTTTCTTGGTTTGTGTCTCTCTCTTTCTCTTTTTTTCCCTTTGCTTGTTTGTTTTGTTTCTTTAATTCCACATATGAATGAGATCATATGCTATTTGTCTTTCTCTGACTGACTTATTTTAACTTAGCATTGTACTCTAGAATTCTATCCATTTGCTACAAATGGCAAGATTTCATTCTTTTTATGGCTGAGTAATATTCCATTGTGTATATATACCACTTCTTTTTTTATTTTTAAATTTTTAAATTTTTGTATATTTTTTTATTGGAGTTCAATTTGCCAACATATAGCATAACACCCAGCGCTCATCCCATCAAGTGCCCCCCTCAGTGCCCGTCACTCAGTTAACCCAACCCCCAGGACACGGGACACCTGCATCCCAATGTTTCTAGCAGCAATGTCCACAATAGCCAAACTGTGGAAGGAGCCTTGGTGTCCTTTGAAAGATGAATGGATACACCACTTCTTCTGTATCCATTTATCTGTTGATGGACATCTGGGCTGCTTCCATAATTTGGCCATGGTAAATAATGGATTTATCAGTTTTCAAAATAGTGAGTTGGTTCCCTAGTATTTATCAAAGATGATCAATAAAGTTATTATTTTGTTGAGTGCCATCATGAATTCACAGATTTAAACACAATGGGATACACTTTAATCCATTTTAGCTATTATTCTTTTTTTTAAAGGATTTTTATTTATTTACTAGAGGGAGAGGGAGAGAGAGAGAGAGAGAGAGAGAGAGAGAGAGAGAGAGAGAGAGAGAGAATGTGACCACAAGTACGCAGACTGGCAGGCAATGGGAGGGAGAAGCAGGCTCCTCACTGAGTGGAGAGCCCAAAGTGGGGCTCGAATCTGGGACCCTGGCATCATGACCTGAGCCCAAGGCAGATGCTTAACTGACAGCCATCTAGGTGCCCCTGTAGCTATTGTTCTTATTGATGGTTAAATTGTCCCATTGTTGGCCACTAGGGGTTTGGTCCAGTGCTGGTATTTTGAAAGAACCCCAGTAATTTCTGATAGCTACCTTGTTATCCTAATATTAAGCCCTATGTTTTAGGCTCATCTTGTACACTTCCTACTCAGACCTGGAATCAGCTATTTCTCTAAGAAATCCTGTTGCCTTTTTGTAGGAAATATTATTTAAAGACCTCAACCTGGTAGTGCTCATTATTCCTGGGTTGGTCACTGTTTCTAGGACTTTTTAGTGAGCAGATCTAAGAAATATAATTTCTTTTTTGAAAAGAGAAAATGCATTATGAAATTATACCTGTATTTCCCATTCACTTTAGTTTTACAGAGTTTACATTTAACTGTCCTAATTTTCTGTCTTCTTTCTCCCACACCAAAAAAATCCTGGCTTTTAATGATGCTGATGTAATTACTTATTTGCTTTATTCCACAACATACACAACAGAGTATCAGAATTAAATAAGACTTCCAACAATAAAATTACTGAAAATAGTTTCCTCCTCCTCTTCTTTTTTGTTTGCAATTCTTTTGTCATTAAGGATGTAGAGTCCAATTACTGTGTTTTAAGGTCACTTGAAATAGTTCCTCTGAGTGGTTGTGCCACTAAATAAACACACAGTTGGATTTGTTTCATTTTGCTTTCACTTATTAGCTATTCCCTTTTTTTTGAATTTCATATAATTTCTTTGTCTTTTTTAAAATTATTTTTTATTTTGAAATAGTTATAGATCCACAGGAAGTTGCAAAGATAGCCCAGAGAGATCCCTCATATTCTCTACCCAATTTCCCCCAATGGATACATCTTATGTAATTATAGCACAGTCTGGAAACCAGAAAATTGACATTGGTAAAATGTGTGTGTATAATTTTATGACATTGTATCACATGTAGAGATTTGTGGAACCACCACTGTAATCAGGATACAAAACTATCCCATCACCATAAAGATCTTCCTCATGCTACCGCCTTTATGATCATATTCACCTACCCCTCTCATCATTTCAATACCTCTAACCTCCATTATTTATAATACAGTTTCTTAAACATTTCCTCTATACACATTGAAAACCACATCAGGCAGCATTGAAATTTTTGCTTCAACTATCAAACGTTAACTTAGAAAATTTAAGAAAGTGTCTATCACATTTACTCATATTTTTATTCTTTCATTGTTCTTTCTTCCTTCCTGATGTTCCGAGATGCTTTCTTTCATAATTCCTTTCTAATTAAGTACTTTATTTTAAAGTAGATCTTCTGATAACAACTTCTCTTAAGTTTTCTTTCTTCTGAGAATGTCTTGACTTTTTCCTTCAGTCCTGAAGGATATTTTTGCTGGATATAAAATTCTGGGTTGATAGTCCTTTTGTTTTGGTACTTGAAAAATGTTTTGCATTTCCTTTAGGTGTATGATGAGGTTTGTGATGAGACATTTGCTGTTATTCAAATTCTTTTCCTTTATAAGTGAGGTGTCATTTCTATGTCACTGTTTTCAAGATTTGCCTTTTGTTCTCAAAAATTTGATTTTGGTATGTTTTCATGTGGATTTGTTTCGGTTTACCTTTTTTTGGAATTCACTCAGCCTCTGGAATCTGTTGGTTTATATCTTCTGCCAAATTCAGAAAAATTTCAGCTATTATTTTTTTGGATGTATGTTTAGTTCCACTCTCTTTCCCTTATCCTTCTGGGACTCTACTAACATAAATTTTAGAATTTTTTGTAACACCCCCCAAATTGGCCAGGCTCTGTTTCTCTGTTTTTGTTGTTGTTGTTTTTTGTTGTTAGTCTGTTTTCTCTCTGTTGCTCAGAGTTATAAGTTCACTGTTCTTCTATTCTGTACATTTGTTATTGTTGTTTTATTGTGTTTTTCAGTTTTACAATTTCCATTTGGTTCTTCTTTAGATCTTTCATTTCTTTGCTGAGACTTTAAATTTTTTCATTTGTTTCAAGTGTTCATGATTGTTGAAATATGTTTATGATACCTCCTTCAAAATCCTAATTCAGATACTTAGGATTTAGTATTGATATTTCTAATATTTCTATTAGAATCTTGCCAGATAATTCTAAAATCTGTGTTGATATCTGTTATCTTTTTTCTCATTCAAGTTGAGATTTTCCTGGTTCTTCACATGAGTGAATTAGAGTGAATCCTGGACATTTTGGCTATGATGTTATGAGACTCTATG